TCCAGTGCTCCTCTCACCCCTCCTCCATCCCCAGTCTGACTGCGACAGCCGTATCTCACTTTTGCCAGCGTTGCTCTTTGACAATATTAGTTAAAGCCTTCTCTGAGTTTGGGGTTGAAGTCTCTGGGCTAGAGCCCTGCACGGGCCTAAAATCTGAGCCCGTGTCCGGCCCGGCCCGAGGGGGTGGAGCCCCAGCCCGACCCGGTCCAGAAAGGCTTTCAGGATTCTCTGGCCCGACCCGAGCCCGACTTTTTTTTAACCAACTAAATGAAAACAAAGTGTGTCAATCTTGACCAATGTCTTAAAAGATGTGCAGGATCCGATCAATTTGTTTTTCCCTCATTTACCGTCACGGAGATGACGGCGCGGCTCTGGTGGTAATCAAGTTAAATTTTATCTCTTTCTAACAATTTTCACAAGAAAACAAAACAGTCAAAAGCAGGGCTTGTGTTGTGAGGACCGGATAGTTCCCGTGTTTGACCGTTTATTTGACGGTGAAAGAATTACCCCGACGCATGCAGACGAACTGACATTTTATTCGTTATGCACATCGCAGATGTAGCTAAATCACCTAAGAAAAGATTCCCATCTGAACATCTGAGTTGGACACTGCTCAGCGCAGCTCGCTGTCAGCGCATATGTGCACAGCGAGCTGAAGATGTGGAGATTGGCTTGGAGCGCGTCGCAGAACCAGAGCGCATGCGGGAAGGTTCCTCCCACTGAAGCGAGTGTTTTCCAAACCCTGTCTCTCAGAGAGACTTGTCACTTAGAAAATGTTCCCTGATTATGAAACTTTGGCCGAATAGTGCTTGTTCCTGTCTCCAATGTGGCGACACATCCAGGAGCCGTCTGAGGAGAAGCCCAGAATCTCACATATTCAGCTCAGAAAGCACATATGATTACGCACAAGCGTGACACGTCAACCCGGTCTCACAGTAAGACTGGGCCTGTTCAGGTTTACACAGACAATCTTTACATAGAATTGACTTACAGATATAAAATTAATTCAGTAAAATATAAAGCATTTTATTTAAATATCCATTCATTATTTTACAAGCACAGAGAGCCGCATCAGATGGATGGAAGAGCCGTGGGTTGCCGACCCCTGGCATAGCCTATAAAATAACATGTTGAGGACGCAAACTCAATAGATCTCTTTTATTGTGAGGTAATAATTTCTCCGAGTTTTGCGGGTGCGGGCAGGAGTAGACATGCACGCTACGGGTGCGGGCGGGAGTGTAACACACACATTGCGGTTCCGGGCGTTAATGGTCAGAAATTCAGCGGGAGCGGGCAGGAGCGGGATGAAGAAAACAGTCCCTCGCAGGGCTCTACTGCTGCGGTTAAGTGTTTCATTTTTTTATGAATTCAATTAAAAATAAAGGTGCCCGGCCCGGCCCGGCCCGTGTCCGAGGTAATTACACAGTCGTTGGCCCGGCCCTCGGGCCGGACTTCATTGCAGGGCTCTACTCTAGGCCCTACGGCTTATTACTGAGTATGAGTTGAGCATGTGCACTGCGATTTCAGATCTTCCTCGTTTAAAATAGACGCTGACGGGCCGGCACAACAACATCCCCTTCTCAAGTTTTCCAAGAGGATTTAATCCACTGAGCTTGTCAGTATTTTGGTAAAAACTTATATACAAACACACAAATGTTTTTAAGAAAATTGTCTTGGTGCCAGACTGGGTTTTGATTTAATATTACTCTAAAACAAACCATACTGTTCCACTGATTCTTTTAAGCAAGCATAGAACTCCACAGCGCCATCTGGTGGGGCCTGGCCCCACTGGCCCCGATGTAGAGACATCACTGGCTGTTAAAAACCTGGTTGTGTTTTGGCTGGTTACTAACAAAAAATCTAACTAAGGTACTTGTATGACATGTTTTTTTTAATAAGTTGTTAAAAAATATGTTAAAAGTGAATTTATATGGTTCAGAATTATGAATTTGAACTTTATGGAATCCAGCAAAAGGTAAAAACCCACAATCTTAAAGGTGTAGTTACTGAAAAACAACTTTTTAAATTTATTTTCTGATTATAATTGATTACTTTGAGTTTTTCATTCAGGCTGAACATGAAAATAGTCTCCAACACCTAGCTCATTTATTAGTGCCTGATAAAAAAAAATAGACAGTGAAACTCTAGTTTGAAAATCCTCACAGATCTACGTCACACTGTGATTTAGCATTCGTAGACTCACTGAAATTGACTCATGACGGGGAATGGCTGTTGTTGGTTTCATGTCCAGTAAACAGCAGCGGACGTCTTAGCTAGTTTAAGCTAACCGTTAGCATTAGCAACTTCACTTCACTGCAGAAGTTTCCCCAGTCTTGTGTTATTTGTGGAGAAAAATCATCAGTGTTGCAACATTGCTGTTATCCAATTTAGGATGAGATGTCCAAATATCAGGAAATAAGACTCCAAATTCTGCCTTCTGAAGCTCAGCTGTAATGTCGCAGACTGAACCAGGGGTTTGTGGACTTTTTGTACCCTGGGTACTGCCAGCAAGGCATTCATTCTTTCTAGAGACCACTGCAAATGCATTGATTAAATGAGTAATCCACTCCTTTGAAATAATTTTTTTATCAAAGAGAGAGAGAGAGAGAGAGCTTAGGTTCAACATAAGTTAAAATGCTTACCCTGCAGCACTTTTTGCAGACCCCTGAAACAGCTCTTGTCATTCCTTTCATGTGTAGCAGTGCGCAGCAGACCAAAGGCAATCCTGCCAAGCTTTTGGGTCTCTGCCACTGACAGATGTATGTCAAGTGTGGCGGATGTGTTCTAATTAAGCGTAGGGAAATTTTTCATGAAGGGCAAAAAGAAAAACACAGTAGCTCATGTTTATTTCAGACCACTTGTTCGTGTGACAAATGTGAGTGTACTTTGCAGCAAAGGTTGTGTTGCACATCTGTTGCTTTGTTTAATAGAAGGCAAAAAACATAGCCTTTCTGGAGTGGTTACACCCCATGGGGAGGTCTTCCTGGTAGGGTGACCAAATCCCAACTTGCCAAATGTGGGACAACATGAAATTCTAATGCAACAAAAGTAAGTGCAAAAAATAGGTAAAACTTCTATTCTGCTGCTACTCTTTAACATCACAGTTAGATATGCAGACAATCATTATTATCATTATATATTTCATGTATTTTTAAATTGATCTTGAATAAGCAAACTGCAAAAGCTTTAAGACTATTTCACAGCACCTCTCAAGGTACCACAACATAATTCAGGCTCTTTGGGCCTTCTACAGTGGCTCTGAGTAACTTTAGTTAAAATGATTTTAAAACAGGGGACTCCTGTTTGTTGAAATGTAAATAAAATACAATTTCAAAAATGCAGTTTTAAGCAACTTTTCAGCGTTGTCATTAAATAATTGAACTGATTTTCCACAAATGAATGACAACAAAAGTACCAGTAATATTTTTAGTTCCGTTTACATTTATTTTTTTCAATTTTCCACTAATATCAACATCCCATTGAAAAAATAACTACAATCTTTGGCAAGTTATTTTTCTTTTTCATTTAGAAACACAATAATTATTGTATTTTTTTCTAAAATGTCAACAAATTGCTTATCCTAAATTTTTAGGGAAAAGAGAAAAATACATCGCTGGATTAGATCTCTAAAAAATTCAGGTCTTATCTTACAATTCTGCATTTTTCTCAAAATCCTGATAATAAGTCAAGGCAACTCAATCTTCTTCTTCTTCTTCTTCAAGCCGTTTGGCGGTGGTTAGCAAGCCACTTTTTGGTGCATTACCATCCACAACTAGAGTGGCTTTTAAAGGTGTATGCTGACACCTACTGTTGTGGAGTATATAACCCCAAGTGTTTTGTAAACAACGCAGTCAATTTAACTGTAACTCAATGAGGTGGTACCTGGGGTGACCAATCAGATTCCAAGGGTGGCGTGTGCTACCCAAGCCCCCACAATGCGGCTCTAAAATTGAGGCCAACCCGGAAGTATCAAAAATTGCAGTTCCACCCTCATCCACTGGGAGCTGGTGTCAGAAGTGAGCAAATCCTCGTTGACTCCCATGTTAAAAATACCAATTTCACAGCAGAAATAAACATGTTTACAGCCTGGTACCAAAACATGTTTTTGGTTTAAATGATCTAGTTTACACTCATGACAACTCTGAGGGGGGTGAATTTTTTCTCACTCTTCTGTTTAAGTGTATTAAAAGCCTAAAATTCTATATAATTAATGAGCATCCGACCCACGTGACCACAAAGCTAGCTCCGTGGAAAGGCCTCAGTAGAGCCTCGGTCTGGCCTGGAAACTGTTCCAGGATTTTGAGTCTCTGTGTTTGTGTATTCTTTTTTGGATATTATTTGTGCAATTGTTGGACAAAATGACTTGCTGTGGCATTAATTGCACTAATAGAGCGTCCAAGGAGTCTCCACTTCATTTTTTTCAGTAAGTAAAATTATATTCATGTATATTAGGTCACTGCCGAGCTGAGCTTAGCTTTGGGTTAGCTTCAGGTTAGCTTGTAGCTAGTTCGACCGGGTGTCGTCAGTTGATCCCAGCCTTACAGCCCCACCCTCAGCTCCACCTCTCTTCCCTTTTGTGGAATTGTCTGGGCTTGACGGAACCTGTGACACGGTCAAAATGGCGGTGGTGGCCACCTCCAATTTGGCCTCAAAAATGTGTTATTGGAGCCTATGAAAATGAATTGTCCAGTATTTATATGTCAATGGTGCTACCCCAGGCCATTCCCTTGACACGCCCCTACTTGCCGCTTGCAATATTAACTGTAAAATCCAGTAAATGCATGTGTTTCATATGTATAATCACACAGTTGTTTGGAAACTGAATATTTTGAAATGGGTATGGATGGACATTTACATAAAAGCAGTAGTTTAACCAGATTCAAGTATTTTTTATTGTTAATGGATTAATATCTACTTAAAATAGACAAGCATTCTTGCTGTGGACTGTGAGCAGTATGTCTCAATTTGCTTTTGCTTTTAGTAAATAAACAGTAAAATTGTAAGAGTTAAACTCAGTCAGGCTTTATTTGCAGAGAGACACTTTACAAAGAAGAGGAACAGAGAAACAAACCAAATACTACTACAAGTGACATTAATAATTAATAATACATTAGGCTATTACTAACTTTAAAACATTGATGATACATGATAAATAAAATAACTGTAAAACTGAGGGAAACAATTAATAATGATTAATTTAAGTAGCGAGCACTAGTTGTCCTTAAAACAAGGTGGCCCTCTGCTGGTGTTTATTCATATTGCACTTATACCATCACACCAATCATAATGTTTGTATGTCTCTGCTATGTGGTCAAATTCATACAATAAGCTATTTTGTTAGATTTTTTAAAGTAAAATCAACAGAAGACATTTATGAGTGTCACCAAACCTCTTTGTTCCACCTGTCTCGTGGAATATCTGACCTTATTTCATACAACCACATCTCTGTTTTTTATCATTTCATTTGTGTGGCCAAGAAAGGCAGTTTTTCATAATCACCCATGAAAAGTTGTTATATATCAAGTTGCTACTTTGAAATGAAAGCTGGTTGGTCCAGTTGGATTAGATCTTTTATTCCTTTCTCTCTCTTGTTACCCCCCAACAAGAAGATCTGAACCATCTGCATATATAAGCTTGATCAGCCTACCTGGACGTGGGTTTTTGTTGTGTGTTTTATGTGTTTGACATGTAATTTTAAATTCATATGGGTAGGGGTCAAGTTAAAAATCCAACTTGGGTCTTCAAGAGAAAGAGTTGAATTATTTTATTGAAAACCAATGCAATTTTTAGCATTCTGATTTCTTATGAACAACTGAAAAAGACATTTAAATCTGCTGAGCAAATATTTATTAATGTTTTTTGAAAACAGAGTAAACTTATTTCCAATAGCTCATTCAAAGTCAGTGCACAGCCCATGTCATTCACTTGATGTTGAGCAATTGTCTAAAAAGCAGCTGAGAAAGGCAACAACAACCAAAAAAAGGTATTGCTTTTCCAACGGAACACTAATTCAGCTCTCGCACAGAGATTTACCTAAAAAGCTGCAAACAGGGTTGGTTATTCTTTAAATTAAAAAGGAATCACCTCCATCATCAAGATTATTTATCCAGTTGTTTTGATACACCGTATTATAACCAACATTAAACTTTTTTTTTACAATACAGTTGGATAATATTTGATAATCTTCCTGAGAAAGAAGAAACATTTGACTTGTATATTACTCTTCCTATAGTTTTTTAAAATATTTTATAATAAGCAATTTCAAAAATAAATAAATGAAAATCCTAGGCAGTTTTTCTTTAACTATAGTTCTTTTGATTAGTACATTAATTAAAATATATTATCAATTTTAGGAAAAACTCTATAAGTCTCAATCATTGACATGCAGGACACATCTTTTTACCAAGAATATTTGGTAAATGTCATTGTCATTTCATTTGTTTGTGATCATGTTCAAACAGATCACAGAGTAGCTGTCCTGGGTACTATGAGCGGTTCAAAAACTGGGACAAGGCCAGAATTGTGAAGGAGAAGATTGTCAGTGTACTCATTTTGGGTCGAGGAAGCCTGCTTCCTGATGACTCTGAAATATGAGAAAACAAAACTGATTTATTTAGTGTACTTCTTCGTTTTTCTTATATAATTTACATTATACACAAAAGCATGCCTCCCTCAAACTTTTCAACATGTCTACCACCTTACCTTTGTATCTTGTTTAACTTATTCTCACAATGTAAACTTTATAAAAGATACTGTAACTTACCCACATATACGCTGCCTGGTATAACATTCAGACTAGTATCGTTAAGTGCCCTGGCCAACTGTGCCTTAGCATAGGCCAGTGGAGGCACTGAAGAAGAGTTTGTGAAGATTAGAGTCATGTTGACAGCAATAGATCCACTCCTACAATGACAAACAAAACAATGACATATTTAAAACATGTTAATGCATTTCAATGTGAGTTTGGCCAGTAGGTAGCAGGAAACTTACGTGAATTTATTAACGCGGGAGCGACGATAAAATGGTGTATAGAGGTTCTGGCACACTTTGTTAACCTGAAAGAGGATTTTAATGGTAAATGTTTGCAAACACCAAATAAATGCCTAAACATATTATTATTTTGGTAACGCTTCCTTTTACAGTTCCCTAATTACTAAGTACTTACATGGTAATTACATAGTAAGTTGAAGTGTATTATTGTTTCTGAGTTCTTAAACAGTTATTACCATTTAAGTCAGGTTCAATTATAGTTTTTATTTTTATGACTCATTCCCAGTAAATACTGCTTTACACAATAATTACACTTTATTCCAATTATACACATTAATTACACAATAGTACACTCTAACTTACTATGTAATTACCATGTAAGTGCTTAGTAATTAGGGGACTGTAAAAGGAAGCGCTACCATTTATTTTATTTTTTTTAGTAAAATTACCTCTCCGGTTACTTCTCCAGACAGCAAATTGAAAGCTGTTGTTGTACTGTCGCTAAGCTCTAATGCAAATGTTCTTTCCATGCGAAATCCTAGACCAATGGATCCTTCAGTGGCCGTAGGAGGAGCCGTCACTGCTGTGGTGGTGGATGTTGTAGTAGCTGTAGTAGCTGCAGTTGTAGTGGTAGATGTGGTCACAGTTGTGGCTATTGTTGCTTTGGTAACTGCAGTTGTTGAACTGGTAACCACAGCTGGTGTTGGTTTTGTAGCTGCTGTTACGTTGGTTACTGCAGTTGTTGAACTGGTAACCACAGCTGGTGTTGGTTTTGTAGCTGCTGTTACGTTGGTTACTGCAGTTGTTGAACTGGTAACCACAGCTGGTGTTGGTATTGTAGCTGCTGTTACGTTGGTTACTGCAGTTGTTGAACTGGTAACCACAGCTGGTGGTGGTATTGTAGCTGCTGTTACATTGGTTAGTGCAGTTGTTGAACTGGTAACCACAGCTGGTGTTGGTTTTGTAGCTGCTGTTACGTTGGTTACTGCAGTTGTTGAACTGGTAACCACAGCTGGTGTAGTTGCCGCTGTTACGTTGGTTACTACAGTAGTATCTGGAGCAGGTGTAGTAGCTGGCACTATAACAAAACAAGAAATATTACATAAAACAAGTGACATTGTGATAATTGTTTTATAAGTAAAACATTGTTATTTTACTCACTTGCAACAACACTGCCTGCTGAAATGTTCAGGCCTGTATTATTGCTGGTAAGAAGAGTGGCAAGTTTTGCGGTTGCATTGGCTGCTGATGGTGTTTCACTACTATTTGTGAAAACAAGAGACATTTCTGGGATCACAGAGCCTTTCCTGTGATTAAAGAAGACAGGAAATTATAAATGTTTGTATATATACAGAAAGCAGAGCATTTCTTGAAGAAATAAGCACCAAGATTGAAATCTTACCTGAGTTCAATAACAAGAGATCTGAGGAAAATGTTTCCAAAGGCTATGAAACACATTCTGTTTACCTGTAAGACAACATTATTTATTAATTTATATTAATTAAATTACACACATTCATGTTTTGTTTTGTTAAAGAGCAAGTCACCCCATTACCAGTTTGAACAATAGGCCAAAAGGAGGCATAGCCTGCTGTACTGGGAGGATCACAGACTGCTCCCTCCCCAGTTAATCGGCTAAAAAAATTATTTGGGACTGACGAGTGCTTTAAGTTTAACAGGTGCTTTGCTGCATTAATAATATGACTATGACACAAAAGATCTACAAGCCAACCTTTTTGTTTATGCGTATACGTTTGGTAGGTGCTCTCACCCTTTCAAAATAATTATGAACATAACGTATATCTGTTTGCTGATTAAGTCAGGAAGAATACCATAGCTAAATTAGTATAGCCTTAAATAATAGCATATTCTACAGTTGCTAAATACAGATCCAGATGTAATGTTGCAATGCATTGTGGAGTGCAGCCCTAGACAAACATGGGTCTGAGTTGCTTCTACCATCCTAAGTTTGAAGTTTTGTCTCCTGAAACACAAAGGAACTAAGCCCTGCTGCTGGGGGGTTGTGCAAATCGAACTCTAGTTTTCCAGATATGATGTAGGAGGGAACTTTTTTTTTCTTTCCTAGTGTCGGGTAAGGTCAATGCAACAATAGGACACATCTGGAAAGGCAATGAGCCATAGTTATGTATAAGGGCAGATTTTCACAGTGTGGAGCAGAAAAATGGAAGCACAAATCACTGCCGGATAAACTCTGCACCTTTTCAGGAGTCTCTTGTAGTGACAAATTATAATTACAAGTGACCCAAAAAGTTATTGAGTTAGTAACTCAGTTATCACACTTTAAAGTAATTAGTTACTTGGCAACGTAACTGCAATGTTACTTTTATTAATTTAATTTATTTTACTTTATTTTATGTTTTTTGCAATGTTTTTTATGTTCTATAATGAAGTAAGGTTCTATAAAATCTATAATGTCAAAGATTTGTTTTTAACTGAAGTGGTGTGCTTAGTAATGCATTACTTAATATGTTGTTGATAATACTTTATTTAATAGTTTATTATTGCTGAATAATGCACTAAGTAACATTAAAAAAGGTGGCTCCAATCTGCTCTAAGAGCCGTTTCGTGCGTAACCGACACATTACTAGTAATGCCGTATTACTTCGACGCTAATACTGCTAACACTGGTAGTTATGCGTTTTTACTTTGACCGTTGCCAGCGTTTCAGTTCCAGCATTCAATCAATTGGCCGTTGTTTTTCATTTGGGAAATATACTGTAGTTTGTTTGTCTAGCATTAGCATCCAACATGCAGTTGCACTGTAATGTCATTTGTAGAGTAGGCTATTGTTGTCAAAAATGTGAAACAGGCATCGTTATCATGACCTTTATACATTAAACTATAGACTAATGTTTAATATTCCCTTTGTTCAAAGAAAAACATTTTAGTAGAAAGAAAATGAAAATATTTTACATAAATAATTACCTGAATGATCACTATTGTAGAAAATTCTTTAAAAGCTTTTGAGTTGTGATCAGAATATTCTGGTATAAAATCATCGTTGAGTTTAAATATAAGAATCAGTGTTCTTTCACCAGTTTTAGGAGGCTCTATGTTTGGTGTTGTGGTTGCAGTTGTAGTGGTTGTAACACTGGTAACTTGAGTTGGTGCCATTGTTGTAGCTGGTGATGTTACAAAGGGTGGAAGTGGTGTTGCATTTGTTACAGGTGATGTGGGAGGAACAGGTGGCGGGGTTACATTTGTCACTGGTGAGGTTGCAGGAACTGTTGTTATATTTGTTGCTGGTAATGTGGGAGGAACAGGTGGCGGGGTTACATTTGTTACAGGTGATGTGCCAGGAACAGGTGGCAGGGTTACACTTGTTACAGGTGATGTGCCAAGAACAGGTGGCAGGGTTACACTTGTCACTGGTGAGGTTGCAGGAACTGTTGTTACATTTGTTGCTGGTAATGTGCCAGGAACAGGTGGTGGTGTTATGTTTGTTACTGGTAATGTGCCAGGAACAGGTGGCAGCGTTACATTTGTCACTGGTGAGGTTGCAGGAACTGTTGTTACATTTGTTGCTAGTAATGTGGGAAGAACAGGTGGCGAGGTTACATTTGTCACTGGTGAGGTTGCAGGAACCGTTGTAACATTTGTTGCTGGTAATGTGGGAGGAACAAGTGGCGGGGTCACATTTGTCACTGGTGAGGTTGCAGGAACTGTTGTCACATTTGTTGCTGGTGATGTGCCAGGAACAGGTGGCGGGGTGACATTTGTTACAGGTGATGTGCCAGGAACAGGTGGCGGGGTGACATTTGTCACTGGTGAGGTTGCAGGAACTGTTGTCACATTTGTTGCTGGTGATGTGCCAGGAACAGTTGGCGGGGTTACATTTGTCACTGGTGAGGTTGCAGGAACTGTTGTCACATTTGTTGCTGGTAATGTGGGAGGAACAGGTGGCGGGGTTACATTTGTCACTGGTGAGGTTGCAGGAACTGTTGTCACATTTGTTGCTGGTAATGTGGGAGGAACAGGTGGCGGGGTTACATTTGTCACTGGTGAGGTTGCAGGAACTGTTGTCACATTTGTTGCTGGTAATGTGGGAGGAACAGGTGGCGGGGTGACATCTGTTACAGGTGATGTGCCAGGAACAGTTGGCAGGGTTACATTTGTCACTGGTGAGGTTGCAGGAACTGTTGTTACATTTGTTGCTGGTAATGTGGGAGGAACAGGTGGCGGGGTTACATTTGTCACTGGTGAGGTTGCAGGAACTGTTGTCACATTTGTTGCTGGTAATGTGGGAGGAACAGGTGGCGGGGTGACATCTGTTACAGGTGATGTGCCAGGAACAGTTGGCAGGGTTACATTTGTCACTGGTGAGGTTGCAGGAACTGTTGTTACATTTGTTGCTGGTAATGTGGGAGGAACAGGTGGCGGGGTGACATCTGTTACAGGTGATGTGCCAGGAACAGTTGGCAGGGTTACATTTGTCACTGGTGAGGTTGCAGGAACTGTTGTCACATTTGTTGCTGGTAATGTGGGAGGAACAGGTGGCGGGGTGACATCTGTTACAGGTGATGTGCCAGGAACAGTTGGCAGGGTTACATTTGTCACTGGTGAGGTTGCAGGAACTGTTGTTACATTTGTTGCTGGTAATGTGGGAGGAACAGGTGGCGGGGTTACATTTGTCACTGGTGAGGTTGCAGGAACTGTTGTCACATTTGTTGCTGTTAATGTGGGAGGAACAGGTGGCGGGGTGACATCTGTTACAGGTGATGTGCCAGGAACAGTTGGCAGGGTTACATTTGTCACTGGTGAGGTTGCAGGAACTGTTGTTACATTTGTTGCTGGTAATGTGGGAGGAACAGGTGGCGGGGTGACATTTGTCACTGGTGAGGTTGCAGGAACTGTTGTTACATTTGATGCTGGTAATGTGGGAGGAACAGGTGGTGGGGTTACATTTGTTTCTGGTGATGTTGCAGGAACTGGTGGCGGTGTTACATTTGTTACTGGTGATGTTGGAGAAACTGATGGTGGGGTTACATTTGTTACTAGTGATGTGACAGGAACAAGCGGTGGGGTTGCATTTGTTTCTGGTAATGTGGGAAGAACTTGTGGTGGTGTTACATTTGTTGGTGATGTTGCAGGAACTGGTGGTGAAGTTGCATTTGTTTCTGGTGATATTGCAGGAACAAGTGGTGGTGTTACGTTTGTTACTGGTGATGTTGTAGGAACTGGTGGTGAAGTTGCATGTGTTTCTGGTGATGTGGGATGAATTGGTGGTGGGGTTGCATTTGTTGCTGGTGATGTTGCAGGAACAAGTGGTGGTGTTACATTTGTTTCTGGTGATGTTGCAGGAACTGGTAGTGAAGTTGCATTTGTTTCTGGCGATGTGGGAGGAACTGGTGGTGGGGTTGCATTTGTTGCTGGTGATGTAGCATGAACTGGTGGAGATGTTCCATTTGTTGTGGGTGGAGTCAAAATGAGTGAAGATGAAGTAAGGATTGAAGTTGATGTCATTTCAGCTGCTGGCGATAAATTGGGGGTTTGTGAAGTTAATTTAATTTATAGGTTCTGATAAGAAATTAAAGCACAATATATGTCTGAAAACAGTTTTTCATTTTAATATCTTTCATTATTACCATGGGAAAGAAAAACCTTACTGTTCTGGTCAGTACATGCTTTTTCCTAAATTAATAGATTTAACCACAATACAATATTTTTTGATGACTTTACCTGGTGAAGTAATCAAAGTGACTGATGTAGAAGGAGCAGTTGAAGCATTTAGTGATTCTACAAGAAAACATACAATATAATGAAAAACACAAGTAATTTTACATTAGACATGTTACATGAAGTTGTGCAAAATGGCAGCGTGTGTACATGCTGTGGCTCAGTGCTCTGCATAGCAGCTCTTTGTCTTGCCATATATTGAGTACAACATATAGCTATGTGAATCTAAAACACAGTTTAGGCAAGATAATCTGCATCAGTCTGAAACAAATCAGCAGCATTTTCTAGCACTCTGACTTCCTGATTGAGATCATGAGGACACCGGTGTCTACGTGGACTACTCTTCCTGCTGTGAGGTGATGGACACGGTGCAGAGACAAAAAGCAGAAGTGCAGCGGCCAAGCAGGCATACGTGCTAGACTATCACAAACCCCACACAGACCTCCACAGCCTAGTCTCTACTTAGCAAATGCACAGTCGTTACCAAACAAAATGGAGGATTTAAATCTTACCATATCTGCGCAGAAGAACATGCAGGACTGTTTTGTCATGGTGTTTTTGGAGACACGGCTAAATCCAACTGTCTCGGAGAATGCTATCCAGGCCGCACCAATCATTGCTTCTTCAACCTTGAATAGCTGTCTGTAAAGTGCCAGCCCTTCTGTCTTACAAGGGAGCACTACACCATCATAATCACTGCTGTTTACACTTTAAAAATGGGACCCAATGCCTCCCTGCTTGGCACTCAGCTTAAAGGGGTTGGATTGGGGGGTTGAACCACCAAATAGTTCCCAAGCGCAGCCACAGCTGCAGCTCACCGCTCCTCACAGGGATAGGTCAGTGCGTAGATTTAATTTCACCAGGTGATTGTGCAGCAGGTTGTAGAGTGAGGATTTGTGAGAAAGAGCCTCATCACATCCTGGAACATGAGTGCTTCAACATTCTTAATATTGATGAATACACTGTCCTCCAAACGTAGTGTTGTTAGAAATAGCTGGAAAAACTATTATATATTGTCAAACTGAGGTGGGTTCGGACATTTAAATTTAAGCATGTGTGTCTGTCTCATGTTGTGTTAAACCAGTCTTTGCTTCCTTGCTAAATGAAAGCAGGTTAGAGGTAGCACAAGAAACCGCTATGCTACACTAAATACCCCAAGCTGCCTAAAACAGGAACAAGGTAAATATGGTATTAAATTCTACTGAACCTTTGATTACCTGGAATAATTCAGTGCCAATGTTAATATTTTCAATGAAATTCATTACAACTTTTAACTCATTATTTTATTTTGATGCTCTATTGGCTGATGACTCAATTGTGTTAGCTAGCTATGATGTGTTACCTTGTGATGAAATTGCTGTGTGCAATGATGTGTTGGCTTCTGAAGTTGTTACAGCTGGTTCTGAGACTGTGCTGGGTGATAAGGTTGCATTAGCTGTTTGAGGCATCATGCTGGTTGGTAAGGTAGTTGCTACAGTTGGTTCTGACTCTGTGATGGCTGGATTTGTACTCGCTTCTGGTGGTACCGACTCAGAGATTGCCAGTATTGTAGTTGCTTTTGGAGGTACTGACTCCGTGATGGCAGGTATTGTAGTTTCTTCTGGTGGTACTGACTCAGAGATGACCAGTATTGTAGTTGCTTCAGGTGGTACTGACTTAGAAATGATTGGTATTGTAGTTGCTTTTGGAGGTACTGACTCAGTGATGGCTGGTAATGTAGTTGCTGCTGGTCGTACTGACTCTGTGATGGCCGGTATTGTAGTGGCTTCTGGCGGCACTGACTCAGTGATGGCTGGTATTGTAGTTGCTTCTGGTCGTACTGACTCTGTGATGGCCGATATTGTAGTTACTTCTGGCGGCACTGACTCAGTGATGGCTGGTATTGTAGTTGCTTCTGGTGGCACTGACTCCGTGATGGCTGGTATTGTAGTTGCTTCTGGTGGCACTGACTCCGTGATGGCTGAAATTGTAGTTGCTTCTGGTCGTACTGACTCTGTGATGGCCGATATTGTAGTTACTTCTGGCGGCACTGACTCAGTGATGGCTGGTATTGTAGTTGCTTCTGGTGGCACTGACTCCGTGATGGCTGAAATTGTAGTTGCTTCTGGTGGTACTGACTCCGTGATGGCTGGTAATGTAGTTGCTTCTGGTGGCACTGACTCAGTGATGGCCGGAATTGTAGTTGCTTCTGGTGGTACGGACTCCGTGATGGCTGAAATTGTAGTTGCTTCTGGTGGTACTGACTCCGTGATGGCTGAAATTGTAGTTGCTTCAGGTGGTACTGACTCTGTGATGGCCGGTATTGTAGTAGCTTCTGGTGGCACTGACTCCGTGATGGCTGAAATTGTACTTGCTTCTGGTGGCACTGACTCCGTGATGGCCGGTATTGTAGTAGCTTCTGGTGGTTCTGACTCCGTGATGGCTGGTAATGTAGTTGCTTCTGGTGGCACTGACTCCGTGATGGCCGGAATTGTAGTTGCTTCTGGTGGTACTGACTCTGTGATGGCCGGTATTGTAGTTGCTTCTGGTGGCACTGACTCCGTGATGGCTGGAATTGTAGTTGCTTCTGGTGGTTCTGACTCTGTGATGGCCGGTATTGTAGTTGCTTCTGGTGGTACAGACTCTGTGATGGCCGGTATTGTAGTTTCTTCTGGTTGTAAAGACTCCGTGATGGCCGGAATTGTAGTTGCTTCTGGTGGTACTGACTCTGTGATGGCCGGTATTGTAGTTTCTTCTGGTGGTACAGACTCTGTGATGGCTGGTATTGTAGTTGCTTCTGGTGGTTCTGACTCGGTAATGGCCGGTATTGTAGTAGCTTCTGGTGGTTCTGACTCGGTGATGGCCGGTATTGTAGTTGCTTCTGGTGGTACAGACTCTGTGATGGCCGGTATTGTAGTTGCTTCTGGTGGTTCTGACTCTGTGATGGCCGGTATTGTAGTTTCTTCTGGTGGTACAGACTCTGTGATGGCCGGTATTGTAGTTGCTTCTGGTGGTTCTGACTCGGTGATGGCCGGTATTGTAGTTGCTTCTGGTGGCACTGACTCTGTGATGGCCGGTATTGTAGTTTCTTCTGGTGGTACAGACTCTGTGATGGCTGGTATTGTAGTTGCTTCTGGTGGTTCTGACTCAGTGATGGCCGGTATTGTAGTTGCTTCTGGTGGTTCTGACTCCGTGATGGCCGGTATTGTAGTTTCTTCTGGTGGTACAGACTCTGTGATGGCTGGTATTGTAGTTGCTTCTGGTGGTTCTGACTCAGTGATGGCCGGTATTGTAGTTGCTTCTGGTGGTTCTGACTCTGTGATGGCCGGTATTGTAGTTGCTTCTGGTGTTTCTGACTCCGTGATGGCTGGTATTGTAGTTGCTTCTGGTGGTTCTGACTCCGTGATGGCTGGTATTGTTGTTGCTTCTGGTGGTTCTGACTCCGTGATGGCTGGTAATGTAGTGGCTTCTGGTGGTTCTGACTCCGTGATGGCCGGTAATGTAGTTGCTTCTGGTGGTTCTGACTCTGTGATGGCCGGTAATGTAGTTGCTTCTGGTGGTTCTGACTCCGTGATGGCCGGTATCGTAGTTGCTTCTGGTGGTTCTGATTCCGTAATTGCCGGTATTGTAGTTGCTTCTGGTGGTTCTGACTCCGTGATGGCCGGTATTGTAGTTGCTTCTGGTAGTTCTGATTCCGTGATGGCCGGTAATGTTGTTGCTTCTGGTGGTTCTGACTCTGTGTTGGCCGGTAATGTTGTTGCTTCTGGTGGTTCTGACTCCGTGATAGCTGGAAATGTAGTTTCCTCTGGTGGTTCTGTCTCCGTTATGGCTGGTAATGTAGTTGCTTCTGGTGGTTCTGATTCCGTGTTGGCCGGTAATGTTGTTGCTTGTGGTGGTTCTGACTCCGTGATAGCTGGAAATGTAGTTTCCTCTGGTGGTTCTGTCTCCGTTATGGCTGGTAATGTAGTTGCTTCTGGTGGTTCTGATTCCGTGTTGGCCGGTAATGTTGTTGCTTCTGGTGGTTCTGACTCCGTGATAGCTGGAAATGTAGTTTCCTCTGGTGGTTCTGACTCAGTGATGGCCGGTAATGTAGTTGCTTCTGGTGGTTCTGATTCCGTGTTGGCCGGTAATGTTGTTGCTTCTGGTGGTTCTGACTCCGTGATAGCTAGAAATGTAGTTTCCTCTGGTGGTTCTGACTCTGTGATGGCCGGTAATGTAGTGGCTTTTGGTGGTTCTGACTCCGTGATGGCCGGTATTGTAGTTGCTTCTGGTGGTTCTGATTCCGTGATGGCCGGCATTGTTGTTCCTTCTGGTGGTTCTGATTCCGTGATGGCCAGTATTGTTGTTCCTTCTGGTGGTTCTGACTCTGTGATGGCTGGTAATGTAGTTGCTTCTGGTGGTTCTGACTTTGTGATGGCTGGTATTGCAGTTGCTTCTGGTTGTTCTGATTCCATCTTGGCTGGTAATGTCGTTTGATCAGTTTGTTCTTGTACTATGATGGCTGATAGTGTGGTATCTCTGTTTGGTTCTGATTCCGAGATGGTTGATAATGTCATTGCTTCAGTTGGTTCTGACACTGTGTTGTCTGGTAATGTAGATGGATCAGGTGGTTCTGGCACTATGATGGATGGTAACGTAGTTATGATGGCTGGTTCTGGAACTGTGCTGGCTGGTAATATGGTTCTTTCAGTAGATTCTGACACTGTGTTTACCAGTGAAGTTATGAAACCTGGTTCTGAAGCTGTAGTGACAGGTGAATCTGTGCTGTTTGACGTGTTGAGTATGGATGCAGCTGTGTAAGCTGATGGTGTGTTAACTGTGAAAATGAGAACATATTTGAGAAAGTAACAATGTGTTTAGTGACAGTTTATTTTCTTTCATCCAACATTACATTAACCTAAATGTTAAGTTCTTTATTGGGTCTAAATGGTCTTTTAGTTGAGCTGAAGTCAGTGGTTGTCTTTCTTTAAACTATGCTTTGTAATTAAGGATATCTAAGACTATTCGGTAAAACTCAGTACTCCGTTTTGTTTGGCCAAATAATCAGCTCTACTTGCTATCTGAAGAGTTACTATAAAGAAACTCGTTAAATTAAAGCCAGAATTTTGTCTGAGTATATTTGAATTCAATTCTTGTATCCTGTATGACTGGTGAGTACCGTTATCTTGAAAATATGCCCAATACAATTCTAACAGTAATCTTTATTAATTAAAAAAAAAAAGAATCATGCTGTCTTGTTTACAATACCTGTTGTGTCATTTTCAGCAAAAGTTGTTCCAATAAGTCCTGCAGAGAAAAAAATTTGATGAGTGAAAATCTGATTTCATTTGAATTTATGAGTTAGTTTCATTACTTTCCTCTTTGTCTTTCTCTGCCACACAAACACAAACATGGTACAGGAAACATATATCCTTATACCCTTACTGTTTGGCTTAATGAACCGAACTGTGTTGGAATGTTTACTTTGTGAAGTGCCTTGAGACAATTCTTGTCGTGATTTGGCTCTATATTAATAAACTGAATAGAATTACATGAGGGCTGCACAGTAGCACAGTGGTTAGAGCTGTTGCCTTGCAGAAAGAAGGTCCTGGGTTCGCTTCCTGGCCTGGGATCTTTCTGCATGGAGTTTGCATGTTCTCCCCGTGCATGTGTGGGTTCTCTCCGGGTGCTCTGGCTTCCTCCCACAGTCCAAAAACATGACTGTTAGGTTAACTGGTCTGTCTAACTTGTCCTTAGGTGTGTGTGTGTGTGTGTGTGTGTGTGTGTGTGTGTGTGTGTGTGTGTGTGTGTGTGTGTGTGTCCTGTGCATCTCTGTGTTGCCCTGCGATGGACTGGCTCTCTGTCTAGGGTGTATCCCGCCTGATTGCCCATCGACCGCTGGAGATAGGCACCAGTCCCACCATCACCCACCCACCCCCACCCCCCCACCCCACGACCCTGCGTAAACAAAGCGGGTTCAGACAATGGATGGATGGAATTACATGATACCATACACTCAGATTCATCATCATTACCTGCTAAAAGGAGAAGAAATAGGTGAGGTGCCATCCTCGACGAATCAGCTTTCTGCAAAATATATTCAGTTCAAATATGAGTTCTCATGCTGTTCTAATTCAAATCACTCAGCAAAAAATGCGTTAATGAGAGAACTATCAAAATAAAACAACACTAAATTTGTAACATCCAGAAAACAGATATGGAAAATACTAACATGAATTAATACATTAGTTGATAGGTGAAATAAAGTGATTAAATGACTTATCTTTAGTAACCTCCTCACTAATTAACTCATCAAGTATTTATGTAATCAGGTGAAAGACAGGGTTTGAATTACAGGGGAGCTAAAGGGAACCTGGTTCCCTAACAAGGTGACAGGCTCTGTGTTTACCTATATTACGTTATTCATATGGACTCAAAGCATACTGGGGATTATTTTCAGTAGAGACGATAGAAAGCGCTGATTGTTCGTGCGTCATGTGCATGAACACAATAACATTCTCAAAGTGGCACTCACCCAAAAAATGGTAAATGGCCTGTATTTGATATAGCGCCTTCTAGAGTCTTGGAAGCCCCCAAGGCACTTTACAACACAATCAGTCATTCGCCCATTCACATGGTGATGAGCTACATTGTAGCCACAGCTGCCCTGGGGCACACTGACAGAGGCAAGTCTGCCGTACACAGGCACCACTGGTCCCTCTGAACACCACCAGCAGGCAAGGTGGGCTAAATGTTTTGCCCAAGGACACAACAACAGACGGAGCGAGGCTCAAACCCGCAACCAACCAATTATGGGGCGAGCACTTAACTCCTGTGCCACCGTTGCCCTGAAACAATATAATAAACACACAATTGTTCAGGTCCTCTCATATTTTCTGGTACTTTCTGTCATTTATTCATGCCTGAAGCGCTCTGCTGCTGCTGCAGAGCTCATGCTCCAGGGACTTAACCTCACTGGTGTGGCAGGATGCACTCAACTGTTTTTGCAGGCTGTAGATCCCTTCGATCTGCTTAGCTCAAAAGTAAATGAAAAAAATAGGAAGCCAGGCAGCAGTTTTCTGTAGGACTTAGAAGAAATGCAGGAAGATAATACATAGGATAAGGAAATAGTCAAATAAAAAACAAGAAAACAAAACAAAGTGCTTGAAAAGGAAATTGTAGGTAGATTTATTCCATTACACATTTTACCTTCATATAACATTCATTCATAAGCATGTAAAATTTATATATTTGATACAGTTCAGATCACCTTCAAAACTCAGTCTCACACCCAGAGCCATTTCAAGGCATTTTGGGGGCCAAGGCAAAGCAGACACCCTGGTGAAATATGATGTTTCTGAGTGCCCACCAGAGGGTGCTGTGAGTAAAGATGGTAGCTCCAAGTGGGACAGATGTGAATAGGCAAAATGACTCAGACTGACAGCTGCTAATGCTTTGCTGATTCCTTTAATGGGTTATGTTTAGTTGTATGTGAAAGTGGTGGGGTTAAGCATACCTGAGTGGTTTTCTAGTTGTCATAGATCTAAAATCTCAGGGGCAGACAAGGTAGTTGAACTAGCCAGGATCAGAAAGAAAACCAATCCCTGGACACCTTGGGATGAACGTGACAAAGAAATGCAAGCAGCTGGTCACTGCTGAGTTTGATGACACAATCAAGGGGGAGCTCAACCCAGAGTGGAGGGAGACCTTTCAGATCAAACAAGCAGGGGCAGTCAGCCAGAAGGTTTCAGCAGCCAGACTAGCTGGCAGGGATGCTGTCCACGCGCCCACCCTTAGCTAATGCTTATGCAAAGGAAAATTAAGCTAACCCAAGATGAGATGTGAAACTTGAAATATTAGAAAATTGTGCAAATGTTTTTTTTTTCTAAGGTTCAGGAATCCTTTGTAGGTGTTTTGGGTTAATTATCCGATTAGAGTGAAGATTCAAGCCTAGAATAATTGCCTTTTGGATTCTATTCTAATTGTCTTGGATTTTGAATGTGAGGTTAGCATAAGCTTGAAGCCATAATCATCAAATTTTTAACAAATAAAGGGCTTGAAATGTCTGACTGCTTGTATTGAGCCTATTTCATCTAGTTTCACTTTTTTTGGTTGAATTACTAAAATAAATGAACTTTGCACAATATTCTAATTTTTCTGGTTTCACCTGTATATGTACACCGTAGTGCGGTATGGTTCATGACTGGGGAGGCAGTGACTGCCCTGGAGTCAGAATGACGAACACAGCATATGATCCCAAAAAAATAGAAGCATATATTTTAATTTTGACCTTGAAGGAAATATTTGTTGTTTTAAAACCAATTAAACATGCTTGAATCAGTTCCATACCATACTACAATACTCTAACAAGAACAGAAAAAGAATATTTAATATTAGGGTTGTAATAGACGCTGTCTGTTTTAGTGGCCACAAGGTGGCCTCATAGTCACTGTTTGTTCTCCTGGCCCTAGCTGAGCCAGGTGTAGCAAATTGTCCATCAGGGAGCTTCCTATAAAAGGCAGCTCTCTCTGTCATCTGAGGAGGGAAGCTTAGAAGAGGCCTGGTGTTAGAGCGAGTGTTCCTCTTTTTCCCTCCTAGAAACCCAGATGTTAAAGTCTTCGTTTTTGATTACCTGTGTGGTATTGTAAAACACTTTCTAGTTTCCTAAGCTCGTTTTGTGTTTATTAGAATACTCGTTAAAGAGTTCAGCTCACCCTTTTGGTGGAGCTTTTTGTGTTCATCTAATTCCTTCCTTTTTCCCGGTTTAGTCCCGGCGTTTTGGGTTTATTGATCTTAGTGTTGTTTACCCAGTATTGGATGATCTTTGAGTTTAGTATTATTATTGTCAATTCCCCAGTGCTGGAAGTCTTTTGGTTTTTGTATTATTTGAGTCTTTTACCTGCATAAAGCAATGATTTTTAGTTAATAAACTCCTTGTCCGGTCATCTTTCTTTACGCCCTCTCATAACATCATCTCCTAGGCGAGCTGGGGGCCGTAAAAAGGGTACATTTTTTTATTTGTATAAATGTTTCAGTTTTTCTTGACAGAGCTCTTTTTACACTTAAATTGTGTATGATCTTACCTTTATGTGAAGTCCTTGCGACTAACACAGTAAGTAGTGACACCTGAGTGCCCAAGGCACACTCTGACTAAATAGTCAAGGGACTGGGATAAGAATAAAAAAACCTTACTGATTCCAGATGGATGACTGGAGGACAATCTAGGACGATCAGAATGAACGAAACTGAGTCAACGGTGACCAGGTGAGTGAGAAAGTTAACCCAACTCCACACATAAAAAACGGGTCTGCCTAGCTGTGTGTGAGCATCTCCCAGCTATGCTGGACAAATGTTTCCTTTGAGTAGGTTTTCTTTAAACTACTTTTTAATTTCACTTGAGTTAACTGTTAAATGTGTTATTTTACTTGTACTCAAGTAAAATTTCATTGACGTACTGGTACTTTTAATTAAGTAGAATATTTTAGTACTTTTTCCACTTCTGGGCATAGACCCACGTGAGACCAGAAAGCAGCGGCCAAAATACCTCTTTGTGAGTTATTCATGAAATAAAGGATGCCTGAAAAATGTCATACAGACCAGAGCAGATACTTTGAGCGAGGTCACCTCAGAGTTATGAAAGCTGAATAAGGTGAAGACGACCCGCAGCACCCCTCATCATACTTGTCAATCCACAGTGCTTTAGCCAAATGCTCCATGACTTTTTTAAAAACTAGTCACCCGAAAATAAATGCAGCTTGACTGAACATTTGGCAGATTTGGGGTATACATATAACATTATGCCACATGCGACTACAGACTGCTCCCTGCATAATTGGCTCCACCCTTGCCTTGCCAATAACACGCTGTTGGGTCAGGACCAGGAGTTGAAAAAAAAAAGCTACCTGGTTAGCTATACACCAGAGACGCATCAAGGAGTCAAATAACAGGACACGAGAGGTACACCGAGCCTAAATCAGCAGAGACGCTCAAGTTCAATGTGCCAAAAGTCTGCTGTCCTCCAGTCCAGTTGGCCCAGTTGGTATGATTCCATCACCAGCCTGAAGGAATAAATAAGGTACAGAATGCTGGTGGACATATTGTACATCGGGTGGCCGAGATCCAAGGTTTCCATTATGCTGTAGAACTGGTAGAGAGTGGTCCAGTATGGGGCCACACTGAACTAACCTTCAAACATGCGTTGGGAGTAACAATGTTTAAGTATAACGGCGTTACTAACGGCGTTCTATTTTGGGTAACGGAATAATCTAATTAATTACTTTTCCCACTGTTGCAACGCCGTTACCGTTACTGGGGATGGAAGGTTGTTCGTTACTATGTGCTTGTTGAACGTTGAGCAACAGTGTGAGGCTTTCTGACCGCCACACTTCAGCTGCAGCCAGGGAGAGAGAGGTGTCGGTAACGCGCTTACAAACACGATGATGATTGGCCGGGTGGGCGGAGACCCTCAGTGTTCTCACTATCACTGCATGCTGTAGATACAACAGAGCAGTGTTTGGAATAACATCGTTTAAAATAACCACGTTACTAAAAAAAATATTTTTTTCAGTAACAAGCAATCTAATTAATTACCGTCTTCTTTTATCAAAACGTCATTTCTGCTACTGATAACTAAAAGCGTGCGTTAAGCAGCACGGTGTGTTGAAGCTGTCATCAGCTGATCAGGAGCTAAAGAAGCAGATGTTTTCATCCAAGCGCATCACGGCCCGTGAAGAACAAGGAAGACGTGATGAATAGTCTACGCCAGACCTGGGCATTTTACGGCCCGCGGGCCACATCCGGCCCTTTGGTTGACTTTGACCGGCCCGCGTAAGGTTAATTGGAAATTACAAAATAAATGTATTTTCTCATTTTACCTCATGCATGGGCTAAGGCTGCATTGCTTTTATTTTGAAGTTGTTTTTTACGTGCACAATGACGCAATACGTATAGCAACAAGTGCCCGCGGTTGACATTGTGATTGTAGCCTGAGAAATGTCCGCTCATGCAAAAAAAAAAAAAAAGTAAGATGCCAAATACAGGATTTTCAACAAAAATTGGACTGCTAAGTATTTTTTTTACTGAAGTCG